GAGATAAGAAGAAGAAGTCAGAAAATAAAGTCTAGGGATTAGGCAAGTGAAATGTGGAGGGGCTTGGCCGCTTGGGGTATAGTTCCAGAAGGTGCAGGGTCAAAGGTGTATAAGCTATAAATCTATGAAGTTTTAAGGAATTTCACTATTAGATTATATATGTACATTTTTTGGATTTAATTCTCATTTTATTTTAAAAAATGGATGAGGAAGGCAATCAAAATTGTTTTAGTAATTACTTTTTTCAGAAGAAGTTTTAGTAATAATTATAAATTGTATCTCGCATGTACAACCAAAATAATTTCAGTAAATTATGACTTAATGCACAATGATATTTCCTTTGTTCTTCAATAACAGTCTCCTTATATTTTGTGAGGTTTTTTAGAAGGAATTATTAGGGACCGCATATTTTGTTCTTCAATAAAAGAAAAATGGGAAAGAGGATATACTACGAAGAATAAAGTAATCATAAAATAAGAAGGAGAAGATAATATGTAAACAGAAAAAGGGGCAAGAGCAATAAAAGAGGGTATGAAAGTATCTAGATTGAAAAAAATCTAAAATGAAAAGAGAGACAAATAATTAAGAACGTTCCAAAAGGAAATAAGAATAGTTAATAGGCAGAAGAAGTATTCGTTAATTTTGCTACATTAAATAGTAAAAATTGTGGTTGAGATTTGAGTATAATAAATTAAAGTGAAATATGGTGAACCCTATATTTATTTTCCAAAAAGAAACTGTGACACTTTTTTTCGGACAACTCAAAATGAAAATTAAGACACGTAAAATGTATCCAATTTGATTGAGTATAAGTTTTGCCTTGACCCTATATATGTATTTCAATTGAATTTTCTATTTTAAAGCATTTTTAACTTTAAAATAACAATACTTGACAATTTGTGCGAATCATTGTTCAATTTTTGTAAACATAATTTCTTATATTTAACCATGATGTGGTCTACTTTGTTAGATGATTTCTTATTTATCCTATATCATTTCTCCATTTTCTAAAATATTCGTTTTTGCACCCCAAACCCCATATGAAAAGAAAAAATGTCCTCAATCAGGAATATGTTGAAGGTCAACAAAATTGTTAATGGAGGGGCATTTTTGTCTTTTCATATAGGGTTGGGGTGCAAAAACAAAGATTTTAAAAACAGGGTGCAAATTACAATTTAGACAATAATATGAAGTGCAAACTCAAATTACCCCAAAAATTTTAACCCAACGGACCAAAACAGGCTAATAACCGGCCAGCGACTTACTAGCAACTCATTGTTTCGATCCTAGAAAATGATAAGGATAAATGAGATGGAGTGAGCTAAGAAAATGATAGGTGATGGCAACAGTAAAAATGTTGGAAGATGATGATGGTGGTATAAATAAATTTATAAAAGGAGATGGAGGTGCAATATGTTGGATGTGAAGGTGATCATGAAAATGGAAGAAAAAAGAAAGAAGATGAATGGAGGAGTTTTCATGTGGAGAAAGAAGATAGGGAGGGGTAAAAAAAAAATGACCCTTATATATGGTGTATTAAAGGCATACACAATTAATTTTTATTCCTAGCATTATTGTAATTTTATATACACTCTCCAGTCTCTGTCTCGGATGTTTTCTTTTGAATTGTTTTCAGTCCCAGACCAGATCAGACCAGACCAGATCAGACCGGATCAGACCAGACTTCTGTAGTTATAAAATACGCAGAGACCAGACATATACCAGACCAGACCAGTTCAGACCAGACCAGCAAATTTCAGTCCAAAAGAAAACATCCTAAATTTACCATCTTTTTTTTTTAGTGTTCAAAATTTTTGACAGTTTCCCTTTTTATCAATTTATTAATTTTTGGTTACAATAATTTCTCCCTCTACAAACTTTTCAACCACACACTTTTTTATCAAGTTTTAAAAGATAGGAGTTTTAAATTTCTTTTAGTTAAAGAAATTTTCTAATGCCCTAAATAAATTAATAACTAGGGGTGTTCGTGAGTTTGGTTTCATTGATTTCAATTTTATCAATTCGATTTTGGGGCAAATTATACCGTGCAATCGGCATACTATGCACATGGTATGTCAGTTGCAATACGGTACCGTTTTTAATAACAACCACAACAATATAACATACACTACCTAGCACTTCCCCTCTCTTTTCTTTTTTTTCTTCTTTCTTGACATACACTCCACTTATCTTTCCAGTTTCCACTACCCCGTTTTTTTTATTCTATGTTTGCTTTAATTAATTTCTTCCTTATCAAAAGCAATCATGTTTCCAAGTAACTTTTTTAATTTTAGAAACAATGATGTATGTATTACAATTTTGAGATTAAATTTTCATCCTTTCAAAAGAAATTTTTTATGTTTTTTTTTCTGTCAGTCCTTATTCATACACTTTTTTTTTGCTTCAACTTAAATTACAATAAAAAATTAACTTAATTTTACTTCAAAATAAATAATGTTATATTTTATACACTTGTATGATTTATATTTCAACATGAGTGAGTTGTGTTTATAGACAATTTTTGGAATTACATTTGATAGTATATGAAGTTACACCTTCTTATTTACATCTGTTTATGCGTGAGTTACGTCTTAATGTGCGTGAGTTACGTCTTAATGTACTCGAGTTACACCATGAAATAAACCATGTTAATGATCAAAAAATGATTTTTTAACTATATCATTTTTTATAACCCTAATATTAAAAAACCATATTCACTATTTACAAAAAGTAATTAGGCAATTAAGATGATTTTTTAATTGTTTAGATTGAAATCAATATAAACAATATACATAAATATTTTATTTCTTTTCTTATATGTACTATCGTATGTATGTATGTATGTAGACATATAAGATGCTTACATTTCAACTTTTCTAAACTTACATTTTAATGTACGCGAGCTATATTTTATTGTAAATGAGTTACACCACTAAATAAACCATGCTAGTGATAAAAAAATTAACTAAATCACTTTTTATAGCCTTAATATTAAAAATTCAAAACATATTCACTATTTTTAAAAAGTAATTAGGCAATTAGAATCAAATTTTCATTGGTTACATTGAAATCCGTTTTTGACAACTTACATATCAACTTGACTCAAGTTACATTTCCTATCAACGTAAGTTACATTTTTGTAAACGGGAGTTACATCATCCTGCTACTGAAACACAAAAAAAAAGTTATTGTTCATCCGCGGCTACTGTTCAACCGTGTTTTACTCCGGGGAGCATGATGCACATTGTGCGCCGGTACCACGGTATACGAACTCGATTTTGGTGGTACAAATTGTAGACAATCCTTTTTAGATAATTACCCCATATATGATTAAAACTCAATGAGTTTCCCAATCTATGACCTAACCAGTTTTTTTTTCAAAATAATATTAAATTTCGTAATATTTAATTAAAATTCGTAATAAATAAATAAATTAATAAATTTGGTTGACAAATATACCCTTTAAGTTATCTCTATAAAACCTTAAGTTCCTACTATTTTCTTCAACCCTAGCCTCCACTCTCCCTGCCTCTAGTCTATAGACATCCACCCACCTCCTGCCGCACGCCCCCTGCCACTGTCACCCACTACAGTCCAGGAGCACGATGCATCCAGTCCCTTGTTTGCTCGGTCACCAGTTTATCCAATCGCTTGCTTGCTCGGCTACCCCAGTCCCATGCCTACTCGCCGCAGCGACCGCCCAGACTGCCACCAGCGCCGCTGTCCTGAGCTATGCGTGCCCCTTCTCAGTTGCGCCCAGTTGCGCCCATCCATCTCTGCGCCTACTTACCACCGTCAAATTTCAAAATCAAATCCCTTATTTGGTGATTTTAAAGCCAAGCAAGAGTTGTAGGGACTGGGAGATAGGTTGAAGGTATGGGACACGCAGTTTATTGAAGAGCAAATTCCATCCATATGCTCGATTTCTTCCTGCGAATAACACAGCAATTTCACAAGCTTTTTTTTCAAGTAGTGGGGGCTTAGCCTAGCACTCCAACAGTATGGCCCCTATTTTTTCTCCTTGAAGCGCCGTTATAGGTGTAACAGGGGTAGTAGAGGAAGTATCCAATATGATATTAAGGTTTATTAAAATTAGGGTTTGTGGGCATTAAATACGGGCAGTGAAAAATGGGCAGTGAATAAATGCATTGACGAAGTGTGTTGTGCATTGAATCGAAGGCGATAGACCGTGTTGCAACGTGCGGTGATTACATCAGTAGTGCAGTAATGTAGAGCAATAACACCATCATGAAATTCAATATATTTAATTAGATGTAATATGCAAAAATTATTAAATCCAAAAAAAACTATAAATAATTTTTTAAATTGGATGAGAAGAGAACTAATAATGGCGAAAGTGCATTGATATGTTACCAGATGTGCAGTAATATCATGCAGTAATGTCGTGCATTAACTGCAATATAAAGTGCATTATTTTTAAATGGACGGAAATAGTGTAAAATGCACTTTTTTAAAATAAGGGTATTTTGGTCATTAAACATTTTAATATAAACGAATTTTCCTTTATATTTTTGCTTTTCGAACTTCAGAGAAACTCAATATGTTTTAGTCATATCCCGGTTAGGGATGGACTCGGGCCGGGCGGCCCGGTTACTGTTTGAACCGGCCCGGCCCGGGAACCGGTCCGGGGGGCGGTTCGGGTCAGCCCGGCCCGGTTATTGTGCGGTTCGGGCCCGGGCCCTAGGATTGGCGAAAGGGCCCGGCCAGTTCGGGCCAAATTATTTTTTTTTTTTTGAATTTTTTCAAGTTTTTGGGTTGGGCTAGGTATTTTGGGCCATTTGAGGTGGTTTGGGGGGTGAGGGGGGAGTTAATTAGGAAAAGCCAAAAAAAAAATAGAACCGAGGCCCGGCCCGGACCCGGGATTACCCGGCCCAGTTCCGGGCCTCCCATTCCTGAACCGAGGCCCGGGCAGGCCCAGGCCCGAACCGGAACCGGTCCACCCATAATCCCGGTAAATTTCCCAAAGTAAAATCGAGAACTCGACCACACAACCCAAGTCAACTTCGGTCATTCGTTTCTTTTTTATGGGTTCGGCATCAATTGGCTGTAGGTCAGTTTTGATTTTTCAATTTTTTGTTCACCCCTAATAATAACATTGTAATTACAACAATTAGAATAATGATAATCACAACAGAAACAATAGTATAACTAGTTGAGAAGTCCATTAGATAAGGTTTAATAAAAAATGGATTAGGGTCTCCATCACAGATCAGCTTAAGTTTAGTCCCCGCCAATATTGACATCTTCAGCTATCCTGTTCCTCTCTTCTTCCTCTACAAAGTACAAATGAATAACAAGTACATAAAATTACAAGCAGATTTGCAAACGTCAGGGTAAACACAAATTGAAAAAACAGCCAATGTTAAATAGTCACCAGAAGATGCATATTGAAACACTATGCCATGCGAAATATGCCTAAACACAAAGGCAACGAGTCCCACTAACACAGGCGAATCCACAACCTATGTTAAGCTTGTTTGTGCATACATTGATACATATGGACACCACATAACCAGATTTTAAAGCAGAGTGTGCAATTCACGCTCCCAAACTGTTTGAGAAACATATTGGGCCAAACAGATGGTTATGAGAAACATATTGCAAGTCAAAGCTTCTTAAAGCACATCGGTTTCCAAATTTAGGATGTGCCACATTAAGACACACATTTGCGTTTGCGAGATACACACATTTAAATGCTTTATTTGCTTTTGTGAAAAGAGTGCTAGTCGAAAACACATCCTGTAACTTGTTGGAATACCCCATTTGGCCATTTGGAATTATACCTCTGATCTATTGTGCAAATCACCTATGGAATTTCCCATAATGAGTAATACAAATGAAATTAATTAACAAATCATATCAAGAAAATATCCTCAATTCCCATTTCATTTTGTCAAGTCTTTGTTCAATTATTCAAAAATTGGTAGCCAGAAATGGGAGTGCCGTCGCTATGGCCGAGCACTAGCCCAAGACCAGACCGGAATCACTAAACTAATAGGACCCAAGGCTGGACTGGAATAATTTGGCCCAATATTGGAATGGGCCAGATTATTCCGGTTTTGACCAGACCTGCCCGGCACTAGACCAAAATTTAATTTTTAGTTATACTTTTTAAATGTTTTGCCTTCTAAAAACTTGGTTTTGATTGTCCAAATAGTAAATTATTAGCTTGGTGTGTCTTTTATATTTTTGTGTTGTTTTATGCATGGTCTTTTCCCATGTATTCTTTGAGTACATCCTGGGAGTAGCTAGGGGGTGTAGCTAAGGGGCATACTAGGGCCTGGCCCATCCAAATCTGAAAACAAACTTTCATTTACAGTGTAAAAAAATTTTGAGAAAATTAATTTTAAAATTCTTTCTGCCGGCCACGCCTGGTGTATACTCCTAGCTAAATGTAGAGCATCATAATGTTTATATCTGCATGTCTATTTGATTAAAATTTTATGTACATCCTAGTGCATCATACAAGAAGGAATGAAAACCATAACCTATGTCTAGTGGAAAAGAAAAAAATCTTCAACTCAATTTAGACTACATCTAAAACCATATAATAATAGCATTAATACAAGAAACTAATGTTTCTTACTGGATCGGTTCAATGAATGGTTTGATTCAATGGCTTGCGCATTTAAGATAGAACAATTTAATTAATCACAATATGTATTAACACCAAAACAAGTGAAAATTGTATAAGTAAATAAAAATGCATCCACCTAAGTCTTCATGCTTTTGTAGATATAGTTTCCTATGAATAAGTATTTTAATTGTATCTAATATTCCTAATAGAAGTATAGTAATAGGTTTAACATTACTCAAAGGGAGAAGGACCAAAAATGACACTATGGTTTTTGATGAATCTCGAATTGGACACTCAGGTTTTTAGTAGATCAAATTAACACAAATTCCAACTTATTCGTTGCATTTATGTCACCCACTAACCTTTTCCGTTAAACGGGTGTTGGTTGATGTTAACACTATACTTTAACAGTTGAGGTTACTCATTCGATGTGCAAGATTATTAAAGGAGATTCTTGGATGAATCTCATTCCCAAACAACTAAGCTCTGGAAAATGAAGGCATGTTCAATGGTGGAATTGATTCACACCATTGAGGAGGCTCAGCATTCTGCGATGTAGATGGACCTATTACATGGGGACTCTGTTCTATGGAAGGTGTACTCACAGTTGGCATTCTATCTGAATTGCTCCAATGATCCACCCAACTAGAATTTCCCATTAGTTGTTTTTCACTCTTCTTCTTTCCAGAATTCCAGGCCAGAAGAGTTGTATTAGACAATTTACTACAGAAGAAGCTCCTCTGATCTCTGTACCCAAACCACCCACTTTATCTCTATACCTATTACTCGAAGAAGCTCCTCTCTATACCTATTACCCGAAGAAGGGGTCTCCCCTGAGGCAACGGTCCAGATTTCTAATCTTATTTAACCCTAATGAAGAAGTTAAAATTGGTGAAGCTGATAGCGATGAGTGCAATAAGACTTCCTTGACTTCCACAGACCCTGATTTCTTAAGCTTTGAAGGGACTAAACCCTCCATTCCTCCTTAAATAGGATTCGGACTTACGGGTGTGAAATCCTTGCCGTTAGCAGCTAGACCGGAAGCCAGCGATTAATTACCGGGGGAGTCGCCGTCCTTGGATGTAGAACCATACTTTGCCTTTTTTATTGGTTCAGATCGGAGAATTCGATGCGACCAAGCGTAGTGTGAAAGTATATTAGAATATACTTTAGAATATGCTTTAGAATATATTAGGAATATACCATAATAGTATTATTGTATAGCATCTTTTATAGGAATATTCTATCTTTGTAATCTATATTTATAGGGCCTTACCCTTCAATGAAATACACCGAAAATCTTTCCTCCACTCTTCAATATTATTCTAGTTTATATTTTAACATGGTATCAGAGCCTTCCATTTCATTTTAGTTTTTCAGATTTCAATTTTGTTTTTCAGACTCGGTTCTTTCTCAAAGAACTTGAGTTTAGTTCAGAACCTCTGTGCACCATTCTGTCTACAAGAAACTCAACCCATACAGAACCTCTCTACACATCATCGCCATTATCCAGAACCTCTATTCAGAACCTTAGTTCAAATTCAGAACCTCAGCCAGGTCCGACCATTTTTTTTTCCAGCGAATTTCTGACAACACCATTCCTGCCGTCCCTGACCAGGCATTGAAATTACGCAGCTCCAAATTGACGCCCTACAGCCACAGTCCTCTGGAAGTAATCGCAGCTGCCGGCGAGTGACACACCTTCCCTCTGGCCGGAGATTCGACCGGGATTTTTGCCAAAGACTCACCTGAGAATCCGCTACCATCAGGTATCGTTTACTTCTCCAGCAAAGGAACGGATATCTGTGGGAGGAAATCTTGTGGTTGGTCGCTGGGGTTTGGCATCAGACATCCGCTCTTCACTGATTCTTGCGTGCTGGGGTCTAGCATCGGATCTCTAGCATATGCTCTAGCGCATCTTCTTTTATTCTGTTTGGAGTCCGAAGCAGTCAACGCCAACGCCAACGCCAACGCCAACGCCAACGCCAAACATAAGATATTTTATTCTCCTAATTTTGAGTCCATAACGGGAAAGCTGCTGTGAGTTTATTAGTTATATTCGAAGTCCAGAAGCATTTAAATCTTTGAGTCCACAAACCGAAAAAGCTTCTGTAAGTTTTTTACCTAATATCCCAAATTCTTTGCTGCCTCATAATATATACTCCCTCCGTCCCCTTTTAAATGGGACGGGAGATGGTGGCACGAGTTTTAAGAAAAGTGAGTTTGTGTGGTTGATATTAATTGATAAAGTAAGAATAAAGTAAGAATGATTTTGAGCCACACAAAGTTTACCAAATAAGGTATGGGACAATTAAATAGGGACATCCCAATATGGTAAAACGGGACATTTAAAAGGGGACGGAGGGAGTATATATATATTAAAAAGAAAAAAAAAGGAAATTATGTATTGTACGGGAAAGTTTGACAGAGCAGTAATATGCAATTACTGCAAGAAGCCCGGACACTTGATCAAAGAATGTAGAAAATTGCTATTCAAGAATCAAGGAAATCAGCTTGCTCGTGTCGCTACCGCTACCAGTTCATCTGATGGATCAGTTGCTATTTCTTCAGATGAGTATGCCAAATTTATTTGCTACCAAGAATCTCTAAAGCATTCATTTGTCCCTATCTCGGTAGCCGCGAATTCAGGTATTTCAAACACATGTCTTGTTTCATCATCCTCGAAATGGGTCATTGATTCAGGTGCCACAGATCATATGACCGGTAATCCTAGTCTATTCTCGTCATTTCATTCATATTTACATACTTCTAGTGTCACTTTAGCTGATGGATCTACCTCACCCGTTCTTGGATCTGGTACTGTTGTTCCAACTTCTACATTACCATTATCGCCTGTTTTGAGTCTTCCTAATTTTGCATTTAATCTGCTTTCCATCAGTAAAATCACTCGTACTCTTAATTGTTCTGTAACATTTTTTCCTGGATATTGTGTGTTTCAGGATCTGTTAACGAAGCAGATTATTGGTAAAGGACATGAGTCAGCTGGTCTTTATATTTTGGATACATCCATCACAAAAGGTATCTCTTGTCTTGGGGTTGGGACTTTGTTAGATGCTCATTACCGATTAGGACATCCATCTCTCCCATTAATGACGCAAAAAAAAAAAAATGTGAGTCATGTCAATTTGCGAAACACCATCGTACTAGCTTAAGCCCGCGAGTTAATAAACGAGCAAATGCTCCATTTGACCTTGTTCACTCTGATGTTTGGGGTGTTTGTCCGGTTGTGTCTAAAGCTGGTTTTAAATATTTTGTTACCTTTGTTGATGACTATTCTCGTATGACATGGTTGTATTTCATGAAACGTCGATCTGAGTTGTTCACTCATTTTTCTTCCTTTTGTGCTGAAATTAAAACTCAGTTCAACGTTCCTGTTCGGGTGTTAAGAGGAGACAATGCCCAAGAATATCTATCTGCTACATTTAAGTCATATATGCTTCAACATGGCATTATTCATCAAACTTCATGCGTTGACACACCTCAAAATGGAGTTGCAGAACGAACGAACCGACATCTATTAGAAACTGCAAGGGCTCTTCTATTCCAAATGAATGTGCCTAAACAGTTTTGGGCAGATGCCGTGTCTATTGCATGTTTTTTGATAAATCAAAATGCCATCTTCTGTTTTGAATGGTAAAGCTCCTTATGATTGTCTATTTCCAAACAAAGAGCTTT